TCGCCGGCTTTGAATGCTGGCGAGAGGATGGTGAATGCTGGATTTCAAACATTTATTTATTTCTCAATGTACTTATTTATTTATTTATTTATTTATTTATTTATTTATTCATTTGTTTTATGTATTTATTCACCCATTTATTTATTTATTAATGTTATTATTTATTTATTAATTAAATTAATTAATTAATTTATTTTACATATTTAATTTTTAAAATTTATTTATTTATTTATTTATTCATTTATTTATTTATTAATGTATGTATGCATTTATTTATCTAATGTTGTTTTTTCGCCCACGTTGACACAATTGAACGCTTAACAAAAATATGTTTTACTCAAGTTAAGGTAAGATCAGATAATATAGGATCAGATCAGATTAGATCAGATCAGATCAGATAACAAAAAACTTTAAGACCCATGAAGGGTTTTTGGGAAGATATACCAGAACATGAACATAATATTATATATAAAGATTCAGCACCGACACAGAAATGCATTTACTACATTCATATTCAATGGAAAGCAAAAAATACAAAACTCACCCACATGCGGACACAAGCAGTTTGTGCGATAGTGTGCATGCGCATGAACTCTACCTCCCCCTCTCTCTCCCTCGTTCTCTCCACTCTCTTTCTCTCTCTCTCTGTCTCTGTCTGTCATTCTCTCACTCTCTCTCTCTCTCTCTCTCTCTCTCTCTCTCTCTCTCTCTCTCTCTCTCTCTCACACACACACACACACACACACACACACACACACACACACAAACACAAACAAAAAACAACAAACAATAACATCACATTATATTTTTCTTCTTCTTCTTCTTCTTCTTCTTCTTCTTCTTCTTCTTCTTCTTCTTCTTCATCTATATTTTTTTTCTTGCTTCCTAAAGTGCGTTCCTCGATATTGAATTGAAACCTACATTTTGCCAATCATTTCTCTTCTTCGCTGTTGTTTCTATTCGTTTATTTGTTTGTTAGTTTGTGTGTTTATTTCTTTGTTTTTTGGGGGGTTATTATCTGGTTTTGAAAATGCGAATACAACCTCTGGCACTTATAATAATTATTACTTAATTGTATTGTCAGTGCCGAAAAACTTTCTAAAAACTAATAATTAACGAACACAACCTTTGGCACTTATGATAATAATATGACTTTATTGTGTTGCAAGTGCAGAAAAACTCTTACTAAAAACTAACAATTAACGAACACCGTCTCAAGCTACGTGCACGAGCTCCCTCACCCTCGTCGATACTGTCCATCTCCTTGTTGATGAACCTGGTCATCTCCCGTTTCTGGTCACGTGCCGTGCTGTCCAGGCCCACGAAGGTTGCGCGCCCACCTTTCCCGCCCCTGCCCTTGCCAGTTTCCCGCAAGATGGGCAGGGCTCCTACAGGTTCCGGCGTATGTCTGTCTAGCTGGGAGGCACTGCGAGGCGAGTTCTGGGAAAGGCGGGAAAACAAGGGGTGTTGGGATTATTTCTATTTTATTTGTTTAATGATTTTTTAAATTTATTTATTTATTTATTTATTTATTTATTTATATTAATTTCTTAATTTTTTATTTTATTTTATTTTATTATTATTTTTTTTTGGGGGGGGGGGGGGGGTGAGTGTTTTCGTAAAAGGAGTAACTTCTCGCAATTCGTGAAATGGAGATGTTGTCCAAAAAATAGACACATCTGCCTAATGTTGTAGATTTTAAACTGATGTCATTTTCCTCAAGCTAAACATGTCTTTTATTATTTAATATCATACTTTGTACGAGCTCAATCTATAAATTTCTTAATATCTTTCTGTGCCCATTTAGCTGATCTCCAAGAATTTATTCATTTTGTCAGCATACCTCACAGGTTCAGGGGAGGGGGGGTTGGGGTGGGGGCTGTTAATTCTTTGTTTATTTTTTTTTTTTAGGGATTGGGGGGGGGGGGGATGCAGAGATGCT